TTTACAAGCAGTTTATTCAGCGTACATTAGGACAAAAGGAAACATGTCTGATCTCCTTCATGTCCAAAGCAAGATGGCTAAAGCAAAAGCTATACACAAACGGAAGTTCCCAGCAAGCTGTGCTGGAGTGTAAACAGACATGTGACACACAACAATCATGCCTGTTCCTTAAGGTGGAAATGGAATATCCCAACAGTTACCACACAATAGTGAAAACAATCCAAATTGCACTCATGCATCTTGCTTTCTCCCATGCATTGCTCCTCCTTTGGATAGCAGCCATAGGGCTGGACCCAGGCTTAGTCATACATACCATGGTCTCGTGGAAGTCAGCTTAGCCACCCTGAGTCTTGTTAGTTTGAATCAGCCTGTTCTAAGCATGACTAAGCCTGGATCCACTCCATTTACATTTTCCCCTCCAAGGGTTAATATTTAATCTGTTGTCTTCTGATGCAAAAGTCTGGAAGAAATCAGTTCAGAGACTGCTAAACACAATAGAATGGAAATAAGGGTAGTAGTTTAAGGCCCCATCTGCACTATAAATGTAAAGCAGTATATCACTTTGGACAGTACAGTGGTACCTCGGTTTAAGAGCAGTCCTGTTAACAAACGATTTGGTTTACGAACTCCGCAAAACCGGAAGTAGTGTCCCGATTTGCGAACTTTACCTCAGTCTAAGAATGGAATCTGAACAGTGGAAAGGCACCGGCGGCAGGAGGCCTCATTAGGGAAAGTGCGCCTCGGTTTAAGAACGGTTTCGGTTTAAGAACGGACTTCCGGAATGGATTAAGTTTGTAAACTGAGGTACCACTATAATGGCTTGCCCCAAAGACTCCTGGGAGCTGCAGTTTGTTATGGGTGCTTAGAGTTGTTAGGAGACCCCTGTTCCCCTCACCAAGCCTCAATTCTCAGAGTGATTTAACAGTCGTTCTCTCTTCCCAGGGAAACTCCTTGGGGGTTCTTTGGGGAAGCCATGGTTGCTCAAAGTGATATGAAACTGCTTTAAATGTATAGTGCAGATGGGCCTTAGGTCCTTAATGTGGATGGGGTTAAAAACTGATGGCACCATTTGCAGATTTTTAAGAACTGGAGACTCATTTTACACAGCATGGCGTGGATTCACTTCTTTTGTGTAAACCACAACAACAGCCGCACAATCATGCAAACTGAAAATGCTTATGTTTGGAAACTTTAACAAGGGAAATTACTAGTTACCAGAAAAACTGTAGGACGCTTGGGTTCTCTTCTGTGATGTATCTGACTCTTCCACACAATATGTGAAGAAAATGCAAACAATTATTACAGAGGAGTAGAATTTACTGTTACTCCGTCCATACTGTCCTTTCTAAAACTGTAACCCTCTGAAGTGGCCGGATATTTCAACTGAATTTCTTTTGTTTGTTGCATCATCTTATCGTGTTAGTATATGCATACAATAAAAAAATGAACATAGGAGCATAGCATGTATGTTGGATCAGGCTGGGATAGACCCCTACTATGAAACCCTGCAAATCTGCTTTGCCAGTCAGTGTACTAAGTTAGATAGGCCAAAGATCTGACTCAGTACAAGGCAGATTCCAATGTACATCCTATAGCCAAAATGATATCAATGTTAAGAGTCAAATGCACAGTATTAGGGCAACTGCAAGTCTGGGTACTGGGAGACGCACTACAAACAACTGGGAAGACTGGCCTGGGCTGCCTCTTGTTGCAGACACAGGCTTCTCCAAAAGAAACAAACTCCATTTTTTGGAGAGATTTTTGAATAAAGCCTTCGAGCCAATAAAAAGGGAGCCTAGAGATGCTGGAAGGAGCCAGGAAAATGGCCAGATCCTTCCTATATACAGTGGTACCTTGGTACTCAAACGCCCTGGTACTCAAACAACTTGGAACCCAAACACTGCAAACCCAGAAGTAAGTGTTCCGGTTTGTGAACTTTTTTTGGAAGCTGAATGTGCTCCGTTTTGAGTGCCACGTTTCTGTTTTGAGTGTTACACTGATAATTTGAGTGTTACGCTGATGATTTGAGTGCCACACTTCCTCTTTGAGTGTTACGCTGAGGTCTGTCTGTTTTTGCTATTTATTTTGCATTTTTGTTTTTGCAGCTCTTTTTTGTGTGTGTTTGTAACTGTGTGGAACCCAGTTCAGCTACTGATTGATTGATTATGTGACTGCAGTACATTGTTTATTGCTTTCATTTTGTGGATCAATTGTCTTGTTAGATAGTAAAATTCATGTTAAATTGCTGTTTTAGGGGTTGTTTTTAAAAGCCTGGAACGGATTAATCTATTTTGCATTACTTTCTATGGGAAAGCGCACCTTGGTTTTGGAATGCTTTGGTTTTGGAACAGACTTCTGGAACAGATTAAGTTTGAGAACCAAAGCACCACTGTATACTGTATTGGCCCAAATATAAGTCGCACCTTTAAAATTGGAGGGGGGAATCGAAAAAAAGAAAAAATAACCGAATATAAGCCGCTCCATTCCTCGCTGCTCCTGGCTGCACACTGGGCAGGTTGGTGAGACGCGCTGCGTTGCTGTGGCCTTTCTCTTCCTGGCCTTGGGGGAGAGGATGGGGGACTATGCGCGGGGCGGGTGCTGCTTTGCTGCACTCCTGGCGCTGTCTGCCGCTTGCTCCTGGCTGCAAACAGTAAGGTCGCGAATATAAGCCGCACTTTAACTTTTCATGGTTGGAATTGGGGGGGAAAGTGAGGCTTATATTCAGGCCAATACGGTATATTTCTCAATCTGTTAGCTGCGGCTTTTTCAAACAAGCATTTCCTGGCATTCTCCTCTGGGTACACAGCAAAGGAAGTCGAACCACAGCAAGCCAGAAAAGGGAGCTGAACAAGGGCTCCAGGTATTTGTCAGTCGGAATGGGACTGTGTGCATCTCTCAAGCACACTTTCTCTTCTCCACCCACGGGGGGGAGGCTATGATGGTGGTTAGCTTGAGTACTGTGTGAAGGATCACTCAAGGCCGCCAACAAAAGAACGCCTGCAGAGGTGGATGGTGTCTCTTGGGACTGGTGTCATGGAAGACAGAGAACCGAAAGAGTAGATGCAGCCAGAGCCAATGAAAGGAACAAAACGCCTTCAAGTTTTCTCCCCACCCTCTTCCCTGATGAGTTCTACAATGGCAACACAGACACTAAGGAAGAGAGGGGACTTGACAGGCTTTGAACGGATATGCAGCCGAGAGGAAAAAGTGGAGATTTTCTAGCCAGCGAGAGGAAGGTTCTTGCTGCTTTGCTGACAGCAAAGTGGCTGCGTTTCCTGGGACATTCCTTGAAAAACCTCCCCTTTAAATGAGTTTTGTGGTCCACTTTCTCTGTAGCGTGAGGCTGGTTGACCATTCCCTAGTGCCAAATGACCTCACATTCAGAGGCAAGCAACAGAAAGTGTTGCTACCGCTTATAACCTACCTCAGCAGTTGCTAGATCTAGGATAGGCATAACTATATCCTGTATACTAAAAGGAAACTCATTTGCTGAGTGCCAATCCTTATGCAGCCAAAACAACACCATTCATGCACAAGAACATACTCCTTAAGGGAGAAACCCCAAAAGAGCCCAATGAGGAGTGAGCCTGCTCAGTGATCATGGGATGATGATTGACTGTTGGAGGAGGAATGGGAAACTGGGTGGTGGTGGAATGGAGTCTCTTAGAAGAGGGCATGGCTGGCTAGATGGCTGGCTGGCTGGAACTCTGAACAGGAGCCCTTGACACTTCAACATTTTGTTGCTGGGCCCACTTGTAATTGGAAGGCAAACAAGTGAATAAGGAAAAGGACCAGATGAAAGGAAGCAACAAAGAAATGTCTGGGAAGAATGTGGTGAGCAAGGGTCTCAGTAGGAGGGAAAGCGAGCTGTGATGTAGGTGGGTGGGAAATAGGAAGCACCACATTTGAGGAAGAAAAGTGTGAGTAAAAAAAAATAAAAATTAAATCACTGAATCATAAGATGTTTATGACCACAAAAGGTATATCCCATCTACTTAGATTTTAAAAATGCATGAAGATGATCCGCTCGCTTTCTGCGAAGGAGCTCTCGCAGCCCAAAATACATTATACAAAAATCAATATTCATCACCATGGGTTAGGCAATGGATGGTGAATCACCCTGCTGGTGTCTGTCTGTATGAGAATAGACTTTCTTTTCTTGGAGGCTGCATACATGCAAAATGTGATCCATGTGTAATAAAGGAAAGACAGGCAACAGAAGAACAAGTCAGACTATAAGTGAATACTGAACGTGGACATATTTCAGTGAGGGGGGGGGAACTTTGATCTCTAATCTGAGGAAACTGGTATGAGGTTGGTGGGGATGGGAGACTCTTTGCAAAAATCGCTTGGCTGGCAAACTGCACTAAATTCAGAGAAGTGCAAAACGTAAAGGATGCTCATGCTTTGATTCTCCTACCATTTTGCAAAAATGCGAACTGCCTTCAAAGTCGAATTGAATCACCCTTGAATTTCCCCCACCCTTAGTGGCTGGTGCAGTGCAAATCTTGAACAACTTTATGACAACAGAGGGTTGCCCAACGATGAACAATCTGCCAGTCTGTGCTTTGAGGAGTCTGAATGTTCCTTTGTAAGTGGGCCCATCTTCATGAGTGAGCAACTGTGTACTCCCATGGACCTAAACTGGTTTCAAATCAGGCACTCCAAGTTCATTCCCTTATGGACAGACACCAGATTCTAAATGGAAGGACCCTGCTATCTGAAATGAGTTGGGTCCCTGTCTCCCAATTCCAGGGGGATGGCTGACTACATGTGCATATTAGAGTCAATGCAGGTTAGGGCAAAGGTAGGTGACATTTTTTTTCTGTTCAGGGTTGTGCTTCATCAGGTGGGATCCGTAAAGAGCCATATTCCAGTGGTACCCAATTATTTATCTGCTCACCACTCTCATGAAATTAGGTCAAGGACCTTGCGAAAACAGGCTGAGGGTCATAGGTTGCCCATCCCACAGGTGAGAGCATCAGACTCACGCAAAGGAGAGATCCATGTTCAGATTCCTACTTAGCAATAAACCTCAGCAGGTGGACTTGGAATAGTTGCTCTCTCTTTCAGCTTAGCCTACCTTGCAGCAATATGTTATATTTAAATAGTTTTTATATTCATTGTAAGCCGCCCAGAGAACTTTATTGGGGGGGGGGTGTTGTACAAGCACCATTAAATAAATGAATAAGTGTGTGTGGGATTTTAGGCTGCTTCCATGACCTAATGGGAGGCATCTTTAATAGAACACCCATCATGAAAAGGATTTGGATAACTGAGCTTACTTTTCCCTCTTCCATTATTTGTTTTTCTCTCTTTTCTACCAATAGCCTACTTCCTTCAACTTCCAGAACATCCTTTAGGCTGCCTTAAGGCAGGAGTGAGCAGACTTCAGACTTCTGGGATCTACTTTGCCTATTAGGAGACCCCCAAGATTCACCAAAACTAAGGACAGGTGCAAAAGACAAGGAACCGAAGAATTTTGCAGAGAGGAATTTATTTTGTTCTGTGTACCAGAACTTGGATGGAGTCCTTTCACACAAAAATCCATTCCTAGTTCTCACCTTGAGTGTTTGGTTCCACCCCCTGCCCCATCTGAGCAGTGTAATTCAGGGCACGAGAGATTAATTTTGTCACTGTTGCTGTTGTTAAACAATTGGGAGAAAAATGCTTGCAGAGCTACTGCAAATTAGAGACTACCAGTATATCCCAGTCTACATTTTGCTCACCTTTGTGGAGGGTTGAATATTAAGATCTCCTCCTGATTTTTTAACCAAAGAATTTTGACCAAGGGATTTGAGGAGAAAGGGAATGGATTTAGCAGAACCCACACTATGATCATAAATCTGCTTCTTCCTCTACCCCAAAACTAAGTCCCTTCAGCTGCCAGAGCAGCCACTGACCCCTTCTCTGGATCTCAGCCATGAGAGATGGATCTGTGTGAGCCTGGCGCCCTTCGGCTTGATCTGAAGTTTCAGCTGCCCATTCCATAAAGTAAGGTTGCTGTTCTATGCATGCCAACTTGGGACTATTTGAATTCAGTAGGACTGCCTTCTGGGTAAACATGCATAAGGGTTAGGCTGTAGGTTTCATATGCAGCCCAACCCATTGGACAAATCAGGACTGGGACTAGGGCAAGGAGTTTAACCCTTTCCCCCACCACCTCAATGCCATTACAGTCCTGACAACACCACACACACCTTTCCTAAAGCTGCTTTTGGCTTCCATTGGTGCCAGTACATTCCTATATTACTTCATGCCACAAATTGCAGCACTTGAGTTTATGAAATCTGAAGATGTTCCTTTGTTAGCCCTGGAACAGAATGGTGTGAAACGGCCATTAAAAGCCTTCCTATGCTAAAGGAAGCGGTACTGCTGTACAGAAATCCATTACTGAATATACAGTTTGGGGAAAAATCAAGCTCAGATGAAGTGCCCTGTAACTTTCATAATGATAAAACTTACCCATGTTAATAATCTTTGGGGATCTTTTCAAGGAAGAAACATCACAGTTTCTCTAGAATTATAGACTTTGTTAAGGATGACACTCTGGCTTAATTTGAAACATTAAGTGAACCATTACAATGCAGGGGAACATAATGTTTCCATCCATATTTCACATTAGGCATATTATTCAATATATAATGAGAGTGTTCAGTGATGGCAGAGTTAAGCTGACCTCCTCAGGAGCCATATATAAGAGGAACACTATCAACATTTTATATTCTTGTTGGTAGAAATAAAATAAAAAATAGTAGAAAAAAAGTGTCTAAGATGAAAGGGGAAATGTCCAAGACTTTTGGAAATATCAGAATCTATGTGGTTCTCAAAGGAAAACACTTTAAAGGGCTGCAATAATCAGGGGGCTAGATGCGGCCCTCCAGTCCTCCCTATCTGGCCCTCAAGACTTTCCCCAGGCCACACCTCTCAGTGGCCCTGCTTCGCACCTTCCTTGAGTAATTTTACCTGGCTGGAATGCGTCCTTGAACTCTGATAATGCTTCTTGCTTGCCTGCATGGAAAGGCATGTGTTGAGTGGGTAGAAATTAACAAGATTAATTACCCCCCCCCTCACTAGAAGGTGGATACTGAGGAATACTGAGGAATGGGCACCGGGAGAAGCTGGGTTGGAGACTGGCTTGGAAGAAAGGATTTGTGATCTGGGGGAGTCAAGAGGTGGGCGTCAGAGGCAGGAGAAGCTGAAGGACTGCAGAATGAAGAACAGGTGCAAGAGCCAGGTCAGGCTGATACTTTTTTGTATACCACAGCTGTTGCGAGGACTTCGTTGGCCCAAAAATGGAAATCACAAGAAATTCCTACTATTGCGGAGTGGCAGGCGAAAGTGATGGATTATGAGGAGTTAGCCAAAGTGACCGGCAGAATTCGGGACCAGGACGACCAGAAATTCCAGGATAATTGGAGTAAATTTACTGTTTATCTACAGGAGAACTGTAAAAACTTAAAGACGCTAGCAGGACTGAAGTAACTCCTACAATGTAGATAAGATGTTAAAAATTAAAATATTGGATTTGATAAGGGGTACCAGCTGAAGGGAAGGAGGGAAGTCGCAAGCTCAACAGAGCAAAAAAGGTTTATATGTTGGTGAATGTATTGTAAGAATGATTGTGTAAGGAAAATAATAAAAATTTATTGGGGGGGGGAGAAAAAAGAGAGCTAGGTCAGGCTGTGGCAGGAGGTGGGAGGAGGGGGGGAGACATAAGTCAAGGGCTTCCACACTTCCTCCTCCTGCTACTCCCACCTCCCCTGCTCCACTGTCTCTCAGGACCAGGCTAGGACTGAAGAGGGAGGAGCAGGTGGAGGCTACATGCAGGAGTAGTCTTCGTCTGCTTGCATGCAGCTCAGGTGGGAGAGATGCAAAAGTTGAGGTTGTGGGCGGGGCCTCTCTGTTGCAACCACTTCCTCCCTGGGTGCATACCTAGGAGTAGCTGAGAGACGTGGGACTGATGGACATGCCTTTCCCTAACTTGGAAATGTACTTTCAACTATAAAGAGTTAATTCCTCACTCTGGACATGCCTTGCCTGAAAGCCCTGTGACATTTATGACTGTTTAAAATGGATGCGCTGCACATCGATCATGGTACCATCTACTCATTTAGCAGGTTACAGGGGAGAGAGGTTACACAATTTACATTCTATATGCACAGATTCCAGTCAAAATGGAATGACTTCTTGCAATCATCTTTTTTTCTGATGGGAATGTCTCCATACCCTACTCTGGAATATAATAAATCATTATAGGTTGTTGTTGTTTGTTAAAATCTAGCAGGAGAAATGGCTGAACCAGTCAGATTAGCCTCTTTGTAAAGTAATAGCCTTAGCTGGCCAGTTATGTGCTCTCATTAGCATCACTAAGGGTGAGCTATGTTGCCATAGCGACAGCTAAGTGATTATGTTCTCCAGGGAAGGGGTAGGCATTCCTCCACCCTTACCTGGCTGGATGCCACACCATCCTACAAAGGAGAACAATAAACCAGGGCTGTTAGATTTTGATGTCTGAGTTTTGGCTGATGATGGAGACACAGACATTTCTTTGCATGTCAAGACCCCAAAGCCACCCCCTCGTTGAGAAATAACGCACACAAGGACACAAATATTGAGTTAATGTTATTGGGCAAATTTTGGCCACAACTTTATTGATTACAGAATGTGAGTGGTATTGGCTTAGGCACTGAATGGACCAGACTATATCTGACTCCTGCCCGCTGCGCAGGGAGTCCAGTAAAGGTAAACCACCGGAAGGGGGAGCCCCGTCGATGCATACCGGCTCGAGCTCCCCCTTGTGTTCCCATCGGGGTCATGTCAAGGCCCTAGCCCCGCCCCAGGCTTCGGACAAGATCCACACCCCCAGATTTCTTTAACGGAATACCCTTAAGCTTGGAGGGGCAGGTGATGGCCACACCTCCCCTCCCCCATCATAAGGTCAAACAATGCCTAACCGCAACCCTAACAAAGTTTTGACGATTACTACGATGTAGGTGGAAACCAAATGCCCTGTGCCAATTTGCCAAGTGGAAAAATTCCTACCAAGCCCCTCAACGGCGACCAACCAAGGTCCATAGCAAGGCCAATGTCTAAAACCTGCAAAATAGGGAGGGAGGGTGGGTGATTGAGGAAGCAAGCCAAAGAGGAAGCCCTCAGACTCGCACCTCTGTTTAAATGGTCCCGGCCACGCCCCCCGGCCAGAAGATTGGCTGGCTGGTCGCTGATGTAGCCAGGATCCCCCGGGCAACGCAGGACTATGTCCCCCACCCCCAGAGGAGAGTGGGTGGCCACGCGGTTCACCGCAACTCCTCCCCACGCGGAAGTGGAGGGGATTTCTCCAGACTGAACCCCAAGAGGCTTCCCTGCAAACTTAACAGGGAAGGAAGGTCTCTTGGTGCGTTAATACTGTGAGCCCTTCCATCCTATGCTCAGGTTGTATATATGTGTGAATAAAACCACAGGTACTTAAGATGTCGCAGTCTCCGCTGACCTTCATTGCAAGGACACCAAACCCTGGGAAAGTTCAGGCAACCTTGCTGATTTGGAGATTGAGGTGCACACAACCGTATGCATGTTATGATTCTGATCTCTTCTTTCTTTTTCATGTGGGTATATGTATGCAGTGTATGCAAATGTTATATTTGCTTCTTGACTCCAGGGCAGGTGCATGTAAAAGCCTGAATGCAGTGGAAGGAGACCGCAGAACCAGCCATCCCGTTCATTGCAACTGGTGAAATTCATTATAAGATAGTCATTTGCTAGGCATAAGCGATTAGTGAGCTAGGCAGGGGTGTGCGAGAGAGAGAGAGAGAGAGAGAGAGAGAGAGCGCTCAGAATATGACTCACCAATTTGGAGTCTATTTTACACTGCACTGAAATTGTGTGTCATCTGAACTTTTTTCAGAACACGCCTTTGAACAATAACACCAGAATAAACACACAACACTTACCGTTTCTCATCACACATATTTCGAGATTATGATCAGGCTGATTAAAATATCTTTAACCAAAAGCACAAATGCCTTCTTTGCTTTTAAACCACAAAACCCACCAGAACCAAACTAACTACAGTGGTACCTCGGGTTACATACGCTTCAGGTTGCATACGCTTCAGGTTACAGACTCTGCTAACCCAGAAATATTACCTTGGGTTAAGAACTTTGCTTCAGGATGAGAACAGAAATCGTGCTCTGGCGGTGCAGTGGCAGCGGGAGGCCCCATTAGCTAAAGTGGTGCTTAGGTTAAGAACAGTTTCAGGTTAAGAATGGACCTCCGGAACGAATTAAGTACAGTGGTACCTCGGGTTAAGTACTTAATTTGTTCAGGAGGTCCGTACTTAACCTGAAACTGTTCTTAACCTGAAGCACCACTTTAACTAATGGGGCCTCCTGCTGCCACTGCGCCGCCGTTGCATGATTTCTGTTCTCATCCTGAAGCAAAGTTCTTAACCTGAAGCACTATTTCTGGGTTAGCGGAGTCTGTAACCTGAAGCGTATGTGACCCAAGATACCACTGTATAGGAACATAGGAAAGTGCCTTATATTCAGTCTGCCTGGCTCTGTAGTGCCTGCACAGGCTGGCAGCAGCTCTCCAGGGTTTCAGGGCAGGGGTTTCTCCCAGGTCTACCTGGAGACGCCAAAGAACTGAATTTGGGATCTCCTGCATGTAAAGTAGATGCTCTACCACTGAGCTACAGCCCTTCCCAAATTACTGAAGCTGCATGTTCCACAATATGTAGCTGCTATGCTTAACAGAGGAATTGGAACCCTGGCTGGGCCATAGTGGGGCGTGACTGAGCAGCGCAGCCAACCTGCAAACCGCAAAATGTTGTTTTTTTTTAATGATATTTATTAAAGTTTCAGAAACAAAAGATTACATAGATAAAAAGAAAAGAAACAAGAGAAAAAATAAAAACGAGAAAAAATACAAAATACAAAAAACAGAAAAATAAATAAAAAACACTTAAAAACAAATCAATCTTTCCGTACCTTACATTTCATTTCCTTGCTTCCCTGACCTCCTCTCACCTCCCTTTTTTGTATTCCAGTTCAATTGGTTAATTCAGCAATTCCTTTCCCTCTTTGTTTTTATCTTAATCCTTTAACTTAATCTATTATAACTTTGGATTCTCACCTGTTAACAATCCATTTTTACATACACCTTTATAACATTGCTGCTAAAACCACTTAACTTCATTCTGACATCATTCTAACATTCATTAATTTTGCAATATTTCTGTAAATATTGCACTCTGGCGCCCTTTTCCCTTCCAATATTTCATTGCAGACTTCCTTCAAAGGTTGCAATAACCACTCTTTCAGAGATCTATAGTATCTGGAAGTCAGCCCATCCGGTCCTGGAGATTTGCCCAGTTGCATGTTTTGTATGGCACCTTCTACTTCCTGTTCAGATATTTTATAGTTCAGCATTAATTTACTTTCTTGAGAGATTTTTTGTAGGCCATTTGTCTTCAAAAATTGGTCTATGTCCATTTCCTTCTGTGGCCCTTGTGTGTATAATTGTTTAAAGTACCTCTGGAAGCAATTTCTGATCTCAATTGGATTGTGTATACTCTTTCCTTCCACTTCTAAGTTTGTAATGGTATTTAATTTTTGTCTTTTTTTCATTTGCCAGGCCAACAGTTTCCCACATTTGTTAGCTGATTCAAATGTTTTTTGTCTCATTTGTTTGATTTTCCATTCTATTTCCTGATTCATCATTTCCATATATTGCCAAAACTAAGATTTTGTCAAAGATGTATAACTTGCTGTTGAAATGGAATACTCAGGATGAAACGGTGAAATCTGCTATGATTAAATGGGCACAAGATGTTGGACATAACATAATGATGGCTGACTGGGAACAGTTATGGACCACAGATATGAAGTTTACGGCATGTAATGCCTTAAGAGAGAATATTATGAAAATAATATACAGGTGGTACATGACACCAGTCAAGCTTGCAAAAATCTATCATTTGCCCGATAATAAATGTTGGAAATGTAAAGAAACTGAAGGTACATTCTTTCACCTTTGGTGGACGTGCCCAAGGATTAAGGCTTTCTGGGAGATGATCTATAATGAAATGAAAAAGGTATTTAAATATACCTTCTTGAAGAAACCAGAGGCCTTTCTCCTAGGCATAGTCGGCCAATTGGTGCCAAAGAAGGACAGAACTTTTTTTATGTATGCTACAACAGCAGCAAGAATACTCATTGCAAAGTATTGGAAGACACAAGATCTACCCACCCTGGAAGAATGGCAGATGAAGGTGATGGACTATATGGAACTGGCGGAAATGACTGGCAGAATCCGAGACCAGGGAGACGAGTCGGTGGAAGAAGATTGGAAGAAATTTAAAGACTATCTGCAGAAATATTGTAAAATTAATGAATATTAGAATGATGTTGGATAGAAATTAAGTGGTTTTCAGCTGTAATACTATAAGGGAATATGAAAAATGGATTATTAATTGGTAAAAATTTAACGTTACAATATTTTAAGATTAAAGACTAGGATAAACAAAGAGGGTAAGGATTTGCTGAACCAACAAACCGAACTGGAATACAAAAAAGGGAGGCGTGAGGAGGTCCGGGAAACAAGCTAATGAAAAATAAGTAATGGAAAGATTGAGTTGTTTTTAACTATTTTTATTTTTTGTATTTTCTTCTTTTTTATTTTTATTTTGTAATATTTTGAAAATCTCAATAAATATCTTATAAAAAAAAAAAAAAGAAGGCTGATCGCCGAAGAATTGATGCTTTTGAATTATGGTGCTGGAGGAGACTCTTGAGAGTCCCATGGACTGCAAGAAGATCAAACCTATCCATTCTTAAGGAAATCAGCCCTGAGTGCTCACTGCAAGGACAGCTCCTGAAGCTGAGGCTCCAATACTTTGGCCACCTCATGAGAAGAGAAGGCTCCCTGGCAAAGACCCTGATGTTGGGAAAGATGGAGGGCACAAGGAGAAGGGGACGACAGAGGACGAGATGGTTGGATAGTGTTCTCGAAGCTACCAGCATGAGTTTGACCAAACTGCGGGAGGCAGTGGAAGACAGGAATGCCTGGCGTGCTCTGGTCCATGGGGTCACGAAGAGTCGGACACGACTAAACGACTAAACAACAACAACAACATGCCATCTCTTACTGTTTTATGCTGTGTGAAACAGGCTTAAAAATCAATGGGCTGCTTTCTCTGACACCTTTTTGGATGCAGACAAAGGTTTTGTTTACAGTGTGTGAACCAACAGCCACATTTACTTTTCAGAAACACTGTGATCATTCCTGATATTCCTGTGATCATTCCTGACCTCTGGCCTTGCGCTCCTCATAAGGAGTGAAAACAATGACCCTAAAGATAAACTAGCGGCGAGGATTTCATGAATGTCTTAAGCTTCTTTCATATGCCCAGCAAGAAATGTGGGAGTCCACGTGCTGCAATTCCAGACTATAGAGTCATGAGTGTGGCTAATGTGATTGCATAGGCAGGGCCAATGACACCGGTCTTTCCCAAATGACGGAACTCTCCCTCCAGCTAGGAGGCAATTGTATGAGGAAGAGCCACATGACTGGACCCACCCATGTGATCTCATCCTGTACATGTGCACCTTTACGGTGTGGGATGGCACTTTTACGGGAAGTGGCTCTCACACTGTAGACTGTGGTGCATGAGAACAGAGTCCTTAAATAGATACTGAGCCGTCCGGGCGTCAGTAGTAGTGGATTGTTGCTCACATAGAAAAGAGATGAAAACGTGGCACTTGAAATGGGAATTAGTGTTTCTGCCACTTTAAGTTTTGAACTCACATTTTAAACCCCACGGGACCATGACTCAGTTTAAGCTCCTATGTGAAAATGCCTAGTTCCTAGTAAAGTTGCAAGTTGGAACTTGATCCCATCCTGGAGACCAAACCCTGTCCTTCTGCATCATAAGGAGGAAATAAAAGCCCTCATAGATTAGGCCTAGGGGAAAGTATTCTGTTCACACACTGCCCAACGAAGTGTCTGTAGGAAACACACAAACAGGACATGAACACAGTAGTACTCTACTGCTCATCTTCCACATGCTGAGAGACACAACCTGCCTCTGGCACACAGCCATCTGAACTAATAATAATAATAATAATAATAATAATAATAAATAATTTTATTTATACCCCAGCCAGAGCCGGGCTCAGGGTGGCTAACACCAGTAAAATCACAGTAAAAAAATAATAGGAAAAGAAAAAAACCAATTTAAAATACAGGTTAAAATGCAATTTGAAATGCAGCCTCATTTTAAAAGTAGCCCATAGATCAAAACCGTAAGGGGAAGGAAGACATAAGGGTCAGACTGAGTCCAAACCAAAGGCCAGGCGGAACAGCTCTATCTTGCAGGCCCTGTGGAAAGATGTCAAGTCCCGCAGGGCCCTAGTCTCTTGTGACAGAGCGTTCCACCAAGTCGGGGCCAGTCCTGAAAAGGCCCTGGCCCTAGTTGAGACCAATCTAACTACCTTGTGACCTGGGACCTCCAAAATGTTGTCATTTGTGGACCTTGAGGTCCTCCGCGGGGCATACCAGGAGAGGCAGTTCCGTACGTACGTGGGTCCTAGGCCGCATAGGGCTTTAAAGGTCAAAACTAACAGATATTGATAACCTTTATCCTACATGAATTTGTCTAATCCATTTTTAAAGATGTCCAAGTTGACATCCATCAGCAAATATTCTAGGAGCAAATTCCATAGTTAAACTACGTGCATTGTGAAGCACTCCCCTTTGTCTGTGCTCACCATCATTAGTGACCCATTCATAGCAATGGGATATGGTCATGGAGGAGTTCCTTTGAGCAGTGGCTCACAAACTATTTGGTATGGTGACCGTCAAGTCCAAAATTACTTGGTATGCTGACCCACCAATTTATTGTCACATGAATTTTGGACCTCAGGTCTTCAGCAGCCGTTGGTTTAGCTGCAACATTGCCTATTTTATAACCATTACTTGAGGCATGCATGCAAAAAAAAATTACTCAGTGCTCCTATTAATGTGGAATTTGTTGAAATATTTGTAGCACTTACAAAGTTATTCAGTTTTTTTTAAAGGGGAAAGCAAGAACACCAATAATCTGATTGCAGGATGTTGCTTCATAAGCTATAAAAACTTATTCTAAAGACACATGGTTACATAAGCAGTGTTAGGAATAATGAACTATGAATATTCTAAATATTTTAATTCATGATAAAGTCCATTTTGGAAAGTGAGGTGGCTGAGCTTGCCTTTTGGTATTATGGGGTTTGATGGCGATTAGATAATTATTAATACATATTCTCAGGGGCAGCCCGAGACATTTTGGCACCTTAAAGAAAAGTTCTTGCTGACTTTCCCTTTCTTTCCAGTAGCAAGGATCTGCAAGGGTTTCTCCTTAGGAAAAGCTCTTGCAAAGCCCTCAAAGCCCCATCAGGGAACACCTCCTGCTTGCTGAGACTTGGTGAGAAGGGGGTGTTCTTCAAGGCTTTGCTGCTGGTCCCCGTATAACCACCTTCTAGCAAACCATCTCTTGATGTACCGCCATCCACCAAAGAGCAGTTCCCCAAGCATTACAAGTGTAAGGCATGAGCCTTACTGAAGTTCAGTTCCAAGCGTCAACACAGCGTCATAATATGCCAACAAAACAAGGAGGTGTAAGAGATATCCATCGTACCAGTTAAGGATTAAAAGCAGC